AATTCTGAGACCCAGATATGGGGATGCCCCTCGAAATCAAGCCTGTGAGGTTGTTGTTCTGTCCCCACAAGCTCTACCTCCAGGACCTGATTTCTCTCTTTCAGTCCCCTTTGGTTTCAGGAGCGGCTGGGCATCTTTCTCAGAGTGTTCTGAGGGCCCTTTCGACTCAGGTTGACGTTTTGCTATTCCACCGCTCTGCACTGATGGTCCACTCCCCCGTGGCCCTGGGAAATGCCTGCATGAAACGGCCTCTTCGTTCAGTGGGGCAATCAATCTGCTCGCCATCCCTCTTCATGACTGATTAACCCAACTGACCATATCATTTTCATGTTCCACTGGAGCCCTCCCTCATTCAGTCATGGATGGTATGTGGTTATACTAGGGCAAGTCCGGGGTCTTCTGATAATAATAGTGACATTCATAGCTTTCCATATGCATGTCCCCTGCCAAGTGCTTTGCCGGTATGAACTCATTTATCTTCATATCAGCCCTCTTATCACCATTTCACAAGTGAGGAAACTGAGGCCTAGGGGGTAAGTAACATACGCCAGGGTCAGGAACAGGCAAAGCTGGAATTCAGTGCCAGACAGTAAGCTTCCAGAACTCCTAATGGGAGTCCCCAGCAGGGGCACCTGACTTGGGAGGTGAGGGAAGGTTTCTAGAAGGAGCTGAGAGCTAAAGAATGAAGAAGGAGGTAAGGGAGGGTGTGATAAGGATGTGCCCAGCACGATGCTGGGGAGGAAAAGGCTAAGCCAAAGAGAGTACCTGCCCTGGTTCTCCAGGCAGTGTTAAATCCTGCCTTAAACAGAAAGACTTTGTTCCTATTTATGTTTGGGTATCTTACCTATTTGATTGTAGATAGTAGCTTTTACATGTTCTCCTTCAGTTATGACAGCTAATTTCAAAGCTTCATTGAGCCATTCGTTTCTGAAAGTTTGTTCACATCCCTTAGACTGTAAATTTCTTGAGTCCGGGGTGCGTGTTTCTTTCTCTCTCACAGTACCCCCACCATGCCTCAATCCCTATTTGTTAAATAAACCAATAAACAAACTGAGAGAATGATTTAGCCTCAGAAATTTTATATATATATATTTTTTTTCTTCCTTTTATATCTGATAAGAACTAGAAAAAAATCTTAGTCATAAAAAGGCTCACAGTTCTTATCAAACATTCTGAATAGTCAAGGTTCCTCATCCAGGGAGAAAATGGTCCGTAAAACCCTATACAGCAAACAGTGGATCCCAACTCTGCCTGCACATCAGAATCATCTAGGAGGCTTTTAAAACATACCCATGCTGCCTGGGCACCAAGAGATTCTGATTTAATTGTTCTGAGATGGGACCTGGGCAACACCTTGCATCACCTTTTTTTTTTTAAAGCTCCTCAGGTGATTCTAATGTGCCGCCACCGCCACCGTGGCAAACCACTGCGTCAGACAGTATCACCTCTTCCCAGGGATCAGATAAAATGACAGATTTGCTCGGAAGGGTGAGAAAGTCCTCAGCCTTCAGAGTGGAGATAGCGGACACAAATGGAGGCGGAGGACAGCTTTTCCGATAACGTTCTCTTACTGGTCCCTTGGCTCCTGGCCCCAGCATTTCCAAGCCGTGTGGGGAGACCCGGGGCACTGGGCTGAGAATGGAGAGGTGGGAAACGCTTGTGGATGCGCTCTGGCCTCACAGGGCTTCACCCGCAGGCTTCCAACCACAGGTGACAAAATGATGGGGTTTTATTACATAGATGCAAGAAATGGCCTTCTCATTCAGTGGTCAAAAAGACGACCCCCAAAACTATTTTCAGCATACCAGTGAGGGAGGGACGCTCTTCTCCCTCTACTCCAGCCAGGAAGATAACATTATCTGGTTCCCAGGGGAGAGCTGAGGGTGGGGGTGGCAGGCACTGTGCTGGTCAAGCTGGCCACGAGCAACTCTGTGCCATTCTTGAGTGTTTTTACCAGGCGGGAGGAAAGTGGTCAAAGAAGCGAAAGGGGGAAACTGACCCTTCACATCAGGCCTGCGTGCAGATGGGATGATCAACATCAGGGTCTGAACTTGGCATCTGTGTGGATGCCCACAGAAACTGTATACACGATTTGTGTGTGTGTGTGTGTGCGTGTGTGTATGCACGCACGAGCATACATTTCTATGAGAAAGGGCTTCTGGTTTTCATCAGCTTCCTAAAGATTAAAGACGACACTTGGCCCTGAGCAGCTTCCACTCTGAGCTGGACACCTATTTGTCACCCACACACCCTGGCCTGGCAGATTTATCCAGCTGAAGGTAGCAGGGCTGGCCAGAGCAAATGATGGAAGTGGATGGCATTCATCCTTTATGCTTGGCCTCAGGAGTGTAGCTTCCCCATTTTCAGATGGCCTGAGCACAGTGAATTGTCACCAGCTTTGTCCTCCACCCCAGCTTGGGGCTTTCCCTCCCTGGCCAAGTGCAAGGGCTCTCTTGGCATCCTACATCTCTGTCCTCTTCTGCCCTTATGTTCCCAGACCTGGATCCATTTTTTTCTGTCTCTTTGCAGGATCATCACCTTACCCTTGACTCCAGAATTCAGTAATCATCATGTCTATCTCGTGAGGCCCTCCCCAGCCTTCTGGTTTCTTTACCATGCTGATTTGTCACCCTCAGGATTCTGGGTTGAACTTCCAAGGTGGTGGGCAGAGGGGTAGTGCCCAGATCAGCTTTTCCTCCCTGGAAGCAGAGTCCAAGCCTTGTCTACTAACCAATACATGTTTCAAAAAGTCCGTGAGGAAAACACATTTTTTGAGAAAAAAACATTAGCATTTTGCTTACTGATGCTACAGGAAAAATAAGAGACAACTACATAACTAGTTTTAGATGTGGCAAAAAAGAAATCCTAATCACTCTCATTTATATAAGCTGTTTATTTTGCGCGCCTAATTCTCATGTGGCACAAGAATGGTGTCTAGATCATTAACTGGGTCAGTTTCCTCTTATTTCAAAGCTAAACTGTATTCAGGTATGTCAGACTTGAAAGTTTGCTGATCCTGTGACGGGGCTGTCTGCTTTCAATTTAGGAAAAAAAAAAATCATTAGAGGAGAATGTTGGCCTAGATGAGAAAACTAGGGAGGGGAGAGGAGCCTGGTAAGCCAGGTCCCTCTGCACCCTCTGTCATTCACTGTATGACCTTAGGCAGGTCAATTTACCTGTTCGGGCTTCCTTGCTTCCCCCGCCCCACTCAAGGCTGGGAACACTGGGTACTGGTTTTCAATTTTTTTTCTTTAAGCAGTAGTGCCCTTCCCTTTTTCTTTTTCCAAACGAAACCTGTATGGAAGCCCAAACTATAAAGCATGTGAAAGAAGAGCTGCCAAAGTCTGCCTTTGAGGTGTCTTCACAGAATGCTGGGATTCCTGGCTCATCCTATGATTTATAACATTGCAAGAATGGGGCGGGACTAGCAAGCACCCCCATGCATCTCTCATGCTTGAAGGGGGGACCAGAATAACACCAACATGGCAGGCAGAGGCATCCTAGGAGCATTTGTAGTGAACCTGGACTTAAACTTGAAGTTCCTCACAAAAACAGGTGGAGGGAAACATTTCCTTCTGAACTTCTGAGGGCAGAGGTTAAGATGCACTCTTGGAGTTCTATCACATTCAAAAAAGTTCAGTCCAATTTTATTTCAAATTGCCCTCTCCCAGATTATTGGAGAGGATGAAATGAGTTGACTGTTATACCTTGGTTTCAAAAGAGGCAGTTTTGAAACCTGTGGTCCCCCAAGCTCTAAGATACTAAGCCATTTGTCCTAATGACACAGCGGAGGCTGAAGTCTAGAATACCACAGGAATATCACACCACTGCAAATTACTAGGTGGTGCTGAGTCTTTAAAAAAAAAAAACAACAAAACGGAATCGAAACAAAATCATTGCACTGTTTTTGAGATGCACGTTTGATATGAGCTGATCAAATTGCTTTTGAGATGATTTTCCTGGAGGCAGAATTATTCTGCACAGTTAAACAGCCCTCCAGTTTCCTCCTTTGTTATAGCTATCTATGTGTAAATACAAGGCCTATATAGTGGACTATCTTCTCTCTCACTTAAGTTTCTGAAGACAAGGCCTTTTTGTCACGGTATGCACAAGACCAGTCAACCTTACAAAAGGAGTCATTTTCTGCTCAATTTCCACAACTTTCCTATGATTAAAAACTTCTAACTTCAAATGCTGTTATTGTATTCTAGCTTGTTTTCTTTCCCTCTCCCCCAACAAATGTTTAAATTGTCTCTACTCTGCAGGATTCCCTTTAAAAAAAAAAAAAAAATCCAATCTGACCTTGAAAACAGAGACGCTGGCTCTCCTTTTCTTTTATATACCCTAAACTATTTTAAAATCCAGGCCCTCCGACCTTTTTACAGCACTCTTCTTGTCTGACACACCAAATGCTAATCTGAAAGCCAAGAGGAGGTAAAGGGTCTGGGGGGCTGGGAAGGGGAGGGAGGGAGGTACTATATATATCTGGCATCAGTTCAGAAATTCAGAAAATGTTTGTGCAACCACTCCCCCAGCCAGGATCCACCGCACCCCCTGCCTTCCAGCACATTAATAAAAAAAGATGTGAGCAGATGAAATTGGAGATCCCGGGAAGGACACCCAAGGCGGTCATAATTATGTTCCCAGAGAAGCCCACTGATCACCATCCCACAAGTCCAGCCCGCATCCCTCCCCTCCGACATCCAAGACTTGCCATCAGGACCTCTGGAGCTCCCACCCCCAGCCCGCAGAGGTGGCCCGTTAAACTCGCAGCAGCACCGCCCATTAACGGCTGGTGTGCGACCAGCGGAAGGACCGCCACAACCTCAGCACGTCGCGGTGGCAGCGCCGCGCACCTTAGGAATCGTACGTGTTCTTCAAAAAGAAAAAAAAAGTACACCGCGCCCACAGGCCTAGACTACATTAACTTGTGAACTGAATGCATCTCGCCCTCAAACAAAAAGAAAAGCGGGGGGGGGGGGGAAGCGAAGGCACTTTACCATCCTGTCCTGAGCTTTCCAGATACTCGGTCAGGTCACAGCCAAAGGCACTGGCGGCTCCCTTTCGTTTCAGCTTCTGCTTGGCACCCTTGTTCTTCATGAGTTAGTCCCAAAGAGGTTGCCCCTCCGTCTCCCCCTCCCCTGTGCTTGGCACCGCGCCTGGGATGGTCTCCGGGCTCAGATCACGGGCTGCGGCGCGGCTCTGGGGGGCCGCATGGGCGCGCGGAGGAAGTGCGGCCCGGGGCGGCGCGCATGGAGCCCGCGGGGCGCGGAGCCCGGCGCGGCCGCGGAGCCTGCAGTCCCGGGCGCGCTCCTCCAGGGCCGCGGGGCCGGGGGCCGGCCGGCGGGAGTGTCACTTCCTCACTCGGAGTCCCAGGGACTTCCACGGGCTCCTGCGGTGTCTTCGGGTGTTTTCCTCCGCCTCGGAGGGAGGGCGAGCTCTCCTTTCCGCCTCTGCAGATGCCCAGCAGAGGACGAGAGCGCGGGAAGCGGGCAGCAGCCGGGGGGCGAGGAGACAGCCCCGGGGCTGCGTGGCGCCTCTGCCCTGCGCCCGCTCTCTTGCCTTCAGATGGCTTTGGGAACGCGACAAACAAGCATCCTGTCTCTCTCGCCCGCCCTCACGCCTTCCTTTTTTTCCTGTCTTACAAATCCTAGGATCATCCAGCTCAGGAAACGCTGGAAGGAAGTTAGCTAGGGAGGGGGGCGGAGGGTGGAAATTTTTGGCAGCTCCGCGCTGCGTGTGTACGGGGCCGGAGGAAGTAGGTGGGTGGGTTGAGGAGTACGGGCCGGGGGGGCGGGGGCGGGAGGACGCGCTCCTCCGAGAGCTGGTCTGCGGCTCTGGAGATAACCGGGCGGCTCGGGAGGAAACCGCCGCGCTCCCAGGAGGACCCGCAGCCCCCGCCGCCCGCTTCCTGCCCCACCGCGGCTCTCGGAGGACGGCAGGCGGAGGCGCGCTGGCCTTCTGGCCGGAGGGCGCTAGGTGGAACTGAGAAAAAGTCCTGCCTTGTTTTTATCCTCCTTGTCACCATCTCTTTGACGCTTTCTATTTTGGTAGGAGAACCTACACAAACGCTTGTAGTGACAGAGACAAAGACTGGGACTCCAGCGGAGAAACCTGACGGCGAGCGGTTTTCCGCCAGCCAGCCACTCCCATCCTCCTCTCCTGCGCCCGGGTACCCCCAACCCAGTTAGCTCCCCTCCTACGCTGAGGGAAGACTGGGGCTGCCGCCTTGTAACCACTGCCCGGGAAATCAGATTTCTGGTTACGGATTCACGCGCGCGCGCGCGCGCGCACACACACACACACACACACACACACACACCCCACCCCCACACCACATCCCACACACGCATTATTCCAAGTTTGCCAAATGGAAGTGATTTGCGGGGTATCCAGGATTTAAGGTGACTGATATTCTAGCATAATGTGGAGAAAGGAGTCTCCCGGGCTGTTCCAAAATTTGTCTCAAGTTTTCAGGAGGACTTGGTTTTTTCTTCTCCAGTTAGATCTGAAATTCCTTGACTTCTGTGTACTCAGCACACAGTAAGCACTCGAATTCTTGTGATTTAACCATTTGAAGATTAGATTAAACTTCCTGTATAAATTCAAATCCATATATAGACTTGAAGGGTAGGGACATTCATACAGCTCAGATTGCTGACGGAAACTTTAAGTACAGTATTTTAGTTACTGAATCCCTTTACAGTCACCTAACTCCCTAGGTATCACAGTGACAGTGAACTTTGACCCTTAATCTTCTGTCTTTGCCAAAGGTCACAAGTGACAGCCTGCCTTCCGAATCTGGTCCACAGATGTGTTTGGTTTGGCAACACAATGCTTTAAAGTTTTTTAAAATTAATTGCCAACTTTAAAGGGTTAAGAGATTTCACTTAAGAGATCTGAGTTTCTAGCTTCTCTTGCAAAAATGGGAGATCTGGTAACACGGAAAGAAAGTGCAATCCCACAGGGCAAGGACTGCTGGTGCCCAGCTGTGACAGCCCCCTTTCAGGTTTACAGCTCCCACCGCCTGTCTTCCCCCCTTTGCACCTGCCTGGCTTCTGGAGCCACTTGAGTTCCCAACCCAAGCTCTGTGTATGGGGTCTCCTTCCTTCCATTTTCCATCTGTCTCTCAGTGACACCAGCATTGCTGTAGTCATCTTGGCTAGACATCTTCAAGTAACCACTGACTCATTTCTTCCCTCTCACCCCCACCTCCAGGCTAGTCCTTTAAAATGCCTCTCCTCTGGGTTTCTTCTTTTCCACGCCCATTCAGTAAGGATTGTTCACTCCTCAGTTATTAGAATAACTCATAGTGGCATTTGCTGAGTCTGGGCTCTGCCCACTCCATCCATCCTATGTACTAAAGGCTTGATGACCCTTCCTGAAATATTGTTGTTATATGCCTGCTTTGTTCAAAACCGGTCAATGGATCCCCAGGACAGCAATTTCTAAGCTTTTTGTAAGCTACTTAGAGAATATCTGGTAGGGTATTCAGTATGATGGCTTGCTCCTCCCTCTATTTATAGAAAAGCGTTTCCATATGAGACAATAATTATTACTATTACCATTTGTTTAGGAGTTTACTTTAGCGAGGACTTTCATGTTCGTTCATTTCATCTACCCTACAGTGGATTTCATCACTTTGGCAGCAAAGGAGAGAGGCCAAAGAGGTGCTTTTTTCCTGGGTCCAGGCCCCCAGAACACAAAATATGGATAAAGTTCTTGAATTACCTCTTTAAATCTTTGAAAATCTTCTTTTAACTTTTCATTTTGAAGTAATTTCAGCTTATAAAAAATTTGCAAATAATAGTCAAAGAATTCCCATTACCCTTCACTCTGCTTTCCCAAATATTAGTATCTGCTATAACCAGAGCACAATTATCAAAATTAGGAAGTTAATACTGATACCATAATATTAACTAATCAACAGCCCTTATTCAAATATCAATTAATTTTTGATTACATATAGTTTTTGTTAAATATAATCTTTCTCACAATAAAGTCCACCAGTAATTTATAAATAATTCTCATACACTTCACAGTATATTAACTGTGTACCAGATCCCCTTAGTCACCAACAAACACAGGAGTGTAGGTTGTCACAAAACAGAACTGCCTAGGTGAACTGAGAAAGCTGGTGACCCTGACACAGCCCTAAGATTCTTCTGTGCTTCACTGAGGATTCCCCAGGGGGATGCCGCAATCCTAGAAGTTTCATCCTGGAACAGCCTGAGACCTTTTGGTCCCTGCTTAGTGATAAGTCATGTTAAGTTGGGTTCAAGTTGTTTTGCGTTCAGGGTTGAGGTAAAACTGAGCGCTGGCCAAGGTGTCCATGATGCCTGGGCTGATTGAACAAACATCTGATACATGTTCATGGTGGTTCTTTGTCTTTATTTGATAACTCTCAATTATCTACACTTCTGGTTGGAAGAACTCACAATTTCTCAAGCCAGATAATGATGCCACATAGTGACAGCAAGACTCAGGAAGTTGGAAAACTGTCCCCCTCCCCACTTGTCCCTGTTCCCTTTCATTGCTGAGTATGCCCTGTGATAGATGCCAAACTTGAATCTAGCCCTTGTTCTGGACACTCTACTTTTCTTTCTCTTTCCTTCCTCTGCTTATCTCTTACTCGTCTCATTTTTCTTTCTCCTTGCTTACCCGAAGATGTGTGCCTTTTTCTGGGTCTGCTGAAGAAAATCAGATTTGGGTTTCAAAGGGTTTATCCGTTGGGCTTGGGATTTCCTAGAAAGTAAGATTATATGGAGATTGCATAAGAATGTTAGCTAATAGGAGGACGGATTAAGCTGTTTGACGGTAGTATAAATGATCCCTTCAGGAGATTATCATAGGACAAAAACCACTGCACTCACATGGAGCTCCCACCATTGGGTTTTGCTGTTGCCTACGATTTATCTTATCGGCAACTAAGACTGCTGCCTATCAAAGGGTGCCATCTGCTTCCCTCGCCAATGATGTTAGTAATTTTCTCTGCCATAAATAAATTAGATACAGAAGACAGAGAGTGGGTATGGGGAGATTTTAGTGTCATGTGTGGGGTAGCCTTTTCTTTTACTTGGCCATAAAACTAGAATTGGCGATCAGCAATTTTATTATTTTTTTTAAATGATTTATTTATTTATTTTAGAGAGAGAGAGAGCATGCACACATGAGTGGGGGGAGGGGCACAGGAGAGGGAGAGAAATCCTCAAGCAGACTTCCTGCGGAGCCCGATGAGGACCCAGGACTCCATCCCAGGACCCTGAGATGAAGACCTGAGCCGACATCAAGAGTCGGATGCTTAGGGGCGCCTGGGTGGCTCAGTCATTAAGCTTCTGCCTTCGGCTCAGGTCATGATCCCAGGGTCCTGGGATCAAGTCCCACATCGGGCTCCCTGCTCGGCGGGAAGCCTGCTTCTCCCTCTCCCACTCCCCCTGCTTGTGTTCCTGCTGTTGCTATCTCTCTCTCTGTCAAATAAATAAATAAAATCTTAAAAAAAAAAAAAAAAGAGTCGGACGCTTAACCGACTGAGCCACCCGGGCACCCCAGCAATCAGCAGTTTTAGAGTGTTCTGAATTCTCTGTTCTGGGTTAGAGAATGTCAGCTCATCCTCCTGCTGGGTACGTTTTCTCTTCTGCTTTCGTCTTCCCTGTTTCCAGCTTAAAAATGCTGGTTTTATCACCGGTTGTTGGGTGTTTTGAGCTGAATTGTGCCTCCCCTGCCAGATTCATGTATTAAAGCCCTAACCTCCAGGACTTCAGAATCTGACTGTATTTGGAGATAAAGCCTTTAAAGAGGTGATTAAGTTAAAACGAGGCTTTTAGAGTAGGTCCTAATCCAGTCTGACTAGTGTCCTTGTGAGAAGGGGAGATGAAGATGCAGAGAGACACCAGGAATGTGAACCGCAGAGAAAAGACCGTGTGAGGACACCGTGGGAGGGTGGCTGTCCACAAGGCAAGGAGAGAAGCCTCAAGGAGAAACCTAACCTGTGATGCCTCAGTCTTGGACTTCCAGCCTCCAAAACTTGTGAGAAAATAAACGTCTGTTGTTTCCACCCCCCAGTCTATGGTATTCTGTTACGGCAGCTCTAGCAGACTAATCTATTGGGTGAGGCTCTTCTATGAGACAGGTCTTGTGCCCACCCTGGGCCCGGACGCAGTGCCCTGAGGGTCTGAAAGCTAGTAGAGGATGAGGATGGCCAGAGCAAAAGGACTTCTAGAAAGTTATATATCCCAAGTTCCATTACTGCATTTGTCTATGCCATGAGTTCCCAGATCTAGGTTATGCTGCAAACTGTGGCCTCTAAGTGTTCAAATGAGATAGGCTAAGTTCCCTAGTAGGGTTGGAAGAGGTCCACATTACCATTCTCGAATCAAACAGAACAGAGTGGAAGAGAGGCCCCCTGACGGATGAGAAGAACAGGAACCAGAATCAGTGTCTCAGGCCCAGAAGCAGAGGCAGCCCGCTAGCAATACACCCTGAAACATGCCAGCTGGGCTCCCGTTGCTCCACCACCTCTATGCCCATGAAAGTCAGTTTTGCCTCTAAGTAGCCTTCCAAAAGCAAGCCGTTGCAGTGAGAAGAACAGAGGAGGAGGGCCTTACATGGTCCTACTCCTAGCTCAAAAGTTGAAGAGCAGACATAGTTATTATTACA